ACAGCGAGCCGGCGTTCTCGTGTCTGGTGGTCTGACGCATGGCGCGGCAACCCCATTGGAAGAATCTGCGCTGACGACCAGCGGCGCTTCTGATTGGACATTTTGGTTGGACCCGGTGTAAATAAAAGAAGCCCTGCGGCGCGTCGCGATCGGCCGTCCTACGAGAGAGGAGTCCCCATGTCGGAGGGCCGACATGTGTGTGAGTCGGCGGTCTTAGGCGAAAAGTTGACCTATGTATTAGAGAGGAGGGCTCGGCTCTTCGAGTCTCTGTCGGCCCCAGTGCCGAAATTGTAACGCCTCTGTAAATATGCTGTACATAAACCTTGTTTAACTCACCGTCGTCTCGTCCGCTCGTCTTATCAGCTCTGCGCAGAAGCAGTCGCGAGCTGATAAACATACGCTACCAAACGGCTGGTGACCTTCCCGGCGGAGTTGGAAGCAGTGGCGCCATCGGGACCGTGTTGGCGTCGCCGTCTTTCGCAACAGTGGTGGCTTCGGTGGGATCGGTCCGTCGTTCGCAACAGTGGAGGTCAGCGGTGGGATTCGGAGGTGGCTTCGCAACAGTGGTCGGCAGCTGCGGGATCGGCCGGCGTCAGCGACATCGATGCGGTGAGTGCCTGATGTTTTCCCCTCAGTTCACCAGACTACTCTAGCTCAGGTTGTAGTAGTTTAGAGAAGGGCTGTGTGAAGCATTAGAGTGAGCTTTGATCGCTTCAAGCAAAGTCGAAGTGCTTTGAAACCAAAGTTAATGCGGAGGGGGTAAACACGGGAGTGTGAGAAATTGCTTGCGCGTCTTGCTAGTAGGCTTATAGTGGGTACGGCAAGTAGATTTTAACAGGGGCAAACAGCAAGAGGCTAGTGTGAACGATGGAGAACCTTAAAGTGAAGGAACTCATCGAAATTTGTGAGGAACTCGGCATTACTTTGGGCCGTGCGAAACGAAAGCAAGCGATCCTTGAGATCATGAAGGATGAGGGAGTGTCGGCTGAGGAAGTCGATGAGGCCTGGGTGGATATTAAAGCACGCCGTGAGGAGGCTGAAAGGCGAGAAGTAGAAGCTCGCGAAGAAGCTGAAAGGCGCGAAGCTCGCGAAGAAGCTGAAAGGCGCGAACGTCGCGAGGAGGCCGAGAGACAAGAGCGCCTAGAGTTGAAACGACTAGAATTGGCAATCCTACAGTGTTCGCAGGCGCCTAGCGTAGCTTCTCCGACGATTCAGGTCAGCGGTTTTAGAATTCGGGACCAACTGCCACCGTTCGTAGTAGGCGAGGACATGGCGAAGTATCTCGTCAAGTTTGAACACGTCTGTGAGCGAAACGCTTTGGAGCGGTCTCTTTGGGCGCAGAACCTGTTAGCTCTTCTTCCCGGCGAAGTGTCCGACGCATTAACTTGCTTGTCTAGGGAAGCGTTTGAGAGCTATGACGAGGTTAAGGAAGTGCTCTTGAGACGTTATAAGTTGTCACCCGAGGCTTTCAGGCAAAGGTTCCGGTATGCTAGAAAGGGGAATGAGTCACATGTTGACTTCGCGTTTCGTCTTAAGGCCGATTTAATTGAATGGCTCAAGGGCGAAGGTGTTTATGACGACCGCGATAAAGTGGTGGAATGCGTTGCATTGGAGCAATTCTACCGCTGCATCGAGGATAATGTCAGACTTTGGCTGCAGGACAGACTTGGGGAAGTACAGTTAAATAAGGCAGCTGAGTTAGCTGAGGAGTATTATACTCGCCGAAAGTTGCATAGCAGGGCAGTGCGCGTTGAAAAGGATGAAAGGAAAGAGGGCTTTTCAAGGAAACCTGATCAACGGAAACCCGTTCCGCACCGTAATTTCAAGAAGGACCCGTCTCTTACGAAGGACAGTGTAGGGGAAGGGCAAACAGAAGCGGAGAAATCGAGTGAGGTTTCTACCACACAGGAATTTGAATCGGAAAACAAACGGAAGCCGCTAATCTGCTACAACTGCAAAAAGGAAGGGCACATCGCGAGAAACTGTCAGGAAAAGTTTGCCTTCGCAACAATCCGAGAATCAGAAAAAAACATGCGGTTGTTGGAGCCGTATCTCCAAGAAATTAGGGTGAATGAAAAAACGTGCCGAGCACTTAGAGACTCAGCGGCAACTATGGACGTTGTCCATCCTTCATTGGTGTCTCCGGATGACTTCACAGGAGAATGCGCGTGGATCAGGCAGGTCGCCGAGGAGCAGAGTGTTCGCTTACCAATCGCCACCGTTGTCATTGAAGGCCCGTTCGGTAAGCTTCGCACCGAAGCAGCTGTGTCTGCCGCGCTAAATGAACGTTTTCCTTATCTTTTCTCCAACAACTCGGAGCAGCTTCTCAAAGAGCAGGGCAAATCGTTCTTCCCCAACTTAGCGTGCATGGCCCTCACGCGATCGCAAGCGCGAAAGCTTTCGCGGAAGCTTGACCTGGTTCCATGCGGTGAACTCTCAAGTGACCTTGTCGGCGGGTCGACGGAACCCCAGAAAGGAAAGTTTCCGCATGAGTCATGTGAGCAGTCACGCGAGCGGCCCGTCGCCGAACCTAGCTGCGCGGTTTCCGGAGAAAGGGGAGACGACATGGCGCCATTGAGTCGGAGCGAGAGGGTTGCAACGCTCTCGCCTGTAGCAGAAAGTTGGAGCGAGCTGCCGCGAGTTGATCGAGAGACGCTCATTCGAGAGCAGCGTGAGGATTTCTCGATTGGAGCGCTAGTGGAAAGCCAAATTGAAGCGCTAGTGGAAAGCCAGAAAAACGCGGCAAAAGTGCTGTCGAAGGAGCACTACGAGAAATCGGGGAAGAAGCGCGCTTTTGAAGTTGATAATCAGGTAAAGCGGCTGCAGCCATCCAAAGGGAACCAGCTTGAGGTTGATTGGGAAGGGCCCGCCAAAGTATTATCGAAGCCTTGCGATACAACTTATGAGGTGCAAGTAGGAAGGGGGCAGAACAAAATTTACAACTTGATGAAACCCAATGTTCAACATCAAGCGGTCGTAAATCAGCTGTTGAAGGCTTCAGAGGAAGAGGAAGCAGAAAATTTGAGTTCTAGTGAGGTGATCGAAGGGAAATCGAAAGTAATCCGGGAGCAGATAAACCTAGAGCCTAGCGTAAGTGAAGGAGGACCTGAGAAAGAGGACCTGAGAAAGATTGTTTCCGAGTTTGGAGACGTGTTTTCGGACCGCCCCGGAAACACGAGTGTGATCGAACACGATATCGAGCTAAGCGGTGAGGAGTCAATCCGTAGCAAGCCGTATCGTTGTTCCCTTGTGCAACGTCGCAAGTGTGAGCCGCTCTTGGTGCCGCATAGGTATCGCCGCCTAAAGGTGGCCGGTTACTGAGGTGGAGCATGTTGCTCCACAGCGCAACTTTGACGTTCGCTATATAAAAAAAAAAAAGGGGGGAAAGCTAAACGCTAATGCAGGTGCATTGAGCAGTGCGTTCTAGCTAGTACTTTCTCAACCTTTCGGTTTCTCGCTGGTGATTCGGGGCAAAATTTTGGCCTCATCACGACCTGAGCTGAGCGCTCTCGTTCAGAGTGATCTCAAGGGGCCAACTTTGTGGTATTCTAATTCGTTACGTTGTTGTACGTGGGAAAAAAAAAATTGAGTTGTCATTTTAAGAGTCTTGTGTCCCACATGTGCCTCTTGATGTAGAGGGAACAAAATTCCGATAGACACGTAGATAGGTATACGTTGTACTATACTTTGTCTGGTGTTCTGTCGGGTGACCGAAGGCACTTGCGTGTGTCGTGTGTTGTCTGTTGTCGAACCGTTCTTAGCAAGTTGCAGAACCATCGACAAGTGCTGAAACCGAAGATGGTCAGAAGAGACGAGCGAAGTTGGCCAGCAAGTTGTGGCGACAAGCCAGTGGAGCTGGGATCCGTCGTCAAAAATGGGATGTGTTCCCGGAACAGTTTGGAGCTGTATTCTCCCCATGGCCCTGGAGGCGAACCTGGAGGGACCTGGCGAACGAGCGCACCTGACATCCGAGCCCCGTGGAAGCAGCTCGTCTTTCTGGTGCATTGTCTGGCGGCGGGGGTGCTGTTATGCCAGCGAGTCCTCGTCAAACGTCCGTGCCTCGGAAAAAGGTAATCTGGGTCAAGGCCAGCCCGCAGTCTGCCTGGCGCGATCAACTCGACGGAGTGAACACGCGCGGCGCCTCTCTCGCCCACGTGCATTGAGTCAGCGGCGCACGTGACAGCGAGCCGGCGTTCTCGTGTCTGGTGGTCTGACGCATGGCGCGGCAACCCCATTGGAAGAATCTGCGCTGACGACCAGCGGCGCTTCTGATTGGACATTTTGGTTGGACCCGGTGTAAATAAAAGAAGCCCTGCGGCGCGTCGCGATCGGCCGTCCTACGAGAGAGGAGTCCCCATGTCGGAGGGCCGACATGTGTGTGAGTCGGCGGTCTTAGGCGAAAAGTTGACCTATGTATTAGAGAGGAGGGCTCGGCTCTTCGAGTCTCTGTCGGCCCCAGTGCCGAAATTGTAACGCCTCTGTAAATATGCTGTACATAAACCTTGTTTAACTCACCGTCGTCTCGTCCGCTCGTCTTATCAGCTCTGCGCAGAAGCAGTCGCGAGCTGATAAACATACGCTACCAAACGGCTGGTGACCTTCCCGGCGGAGTTGGAAGCAGTGGCGCCATCGGGACCGTGTTGGCGTCGCCGTCTTTCGCAACAGTGGTGGCTTCGGTGGGATCGGTCCGTCGTTCGCAACAGTGGAGGTCAGCGGTGGGATTCGGAGGTGGCTTCGCAACAACACAGACCGATGGTGTTTGAAGTATTGTTGATAAACCAAATATTTGTGAAATATCAATGTGTAATACGAATAATAATAAAAAAAGATGCCAACATTACTAATTATTGAAAATCACATAAAAAACAAGATGTATATTAAACATTTCAGAAATATCAAAATGATTTATCCTTTTCTTTTGGTGCTGCTTTTGCCAAGTCTGCCCTGAACAATGCTACGAGCAGAAAGACAAAAAAACAGACTGTAGAAAGTCTCATTACCTGGTTAGATGCCCTGAGCTCCTCCAGAGATTGCTGACTGTTGGCGGCTTCAACCAGGTCCTTGATGACGGGCCCGCTGATGTAGTTGGACTCCACGTTGAGGGACTTCAATGTCTTGTTGTGCCGCACTGCTTCAATGAGGCGCTGCGCAAGAACAGTGCATAACCCATCTATTAATGAAAATAAATTGGGCTTCGGCAGATAAGCTGGGAAAATCCATAGTATTTATTTAGCACACTGTCTTACGTCTTGAAACAAATCATACCAAAAAAGGAGTTCGAAGAGAATTTTTTTTTTTTTTTTATGTTTAGAAGTGACGACAGGTTTCTGAGCACCCACCTTGACTAAGCTGTCAGTGAGATCAGTGTTTGCTAAGGAGAGGGATTCAAGGTTTGTATTCTTCTTGAGACCTTCGAAGAGCTTCTTGAAGTCGTCTCTTCGGATATTCTGAAGCAGATGAACAAGGAAAATGCTATGTTTATAGCCTCGTTGAAAATTATAACAGAAACAAGCATGGCCAAATGACTAACGACAATCGATAAATTAAACATTGCAAGACTTATTCTAAAGAAATCAAGTTTGTTTCATATGCTACAATATAAGGGGCCATTGGTTAGAAATTCGCTCTTTACATATTCTAAGGTCAATGTTTGCATGCCTGCAGCACAGCAATAAAAAAATGTCCCCACATAAAACCTACTCCTCAAGTTAAATGTGCAAACAGTTGAATATGCTGACTATAAAAAATATTTTTCTAAGAATGACACATTGCTCAAACGAAATGTTGAAGCACTGTAAGAATGCGACTGACTGAACTGGTATGTCTGCAATTTTTCATGTAACACGGTCAAGTTTTGTTGATTCAACTATGATGAGAACAGAAAATTTTCGTCATACTGTCCACACAGTCAAAATTCGTAACAGAGAACAAGCGAAAAAAAAAAAGAAAAGAAAATGAAAACATGCCAATGTCTCAAAATAGTTAATTTAGCATTAAGGTTACCCCCAGGGCAGGATGTCAAGGACAACAATGTTACTTGCAAGTTCTTTTAGTCCAACAGAATAGAAAAGTTAATTATTTGTGAGTGGCAACAGAAAAAAAAAAAACAAAGTGTTACCTTTATGTTGTTCCAGTTGAGCGTTTTCAGGGACGGATCATTCGAAGAAACTTTCTCAGCAGTTTGGTGGGTGTTGGTGTCATTGTCCGGCTCCATTGGCATGGGCTTGGGCATGGATGCCTTCACCAGGGCTGCATGCAATTTGTTTACAGATGGACTTTTACAGCAATCCGGCTGCTACAGTTAAGCACCTCCCAACATTGCAACACTACTGCAACGGTCCACTGTCAGAAACCAGACGCTGCCAAAATATTGCTGAAAGACTAAGACACAACATCAACAACAATGAACTTTAAAAATAATGTTTAACTGCACCAGATATATTGCACAATTGCACCTTGCGAGAATAGAGGATCCTCATGCATTGGTATACACTAGAGTTTCTGAAAGAGCGCCTCCATTCCATTCCAATTCCATTCAGGGGAAATCAGGACCTGCTGCGATTCCATTCCGTTAAATTCTACGGAATGAAAAAAACTCAGCCCATTCCCACTTCGGACATGGCGAGCAGTTTAATTTTATTCCTGTAATTCCTTAAGATAGGAAAGGCATCTTGATAGTTTTATTGAGTTAAGAACAAATACCCCATAAAGCTTATGTGATTAGATAGATGCTATAATAACCACAAATGTACGCAAAACACTTTACCAAGGTTGAAAGACACTAGCTTGGCGACTTCTCTCGTACAGTACAACCACCCTACTGATTCCCCATAGGGGCTGTTCTACCGCTACCTATAGTATTTGCATGGTCAGCATGTTTCGACAAATCGTGATGCTTTAATATTGCCTGAGCTTAAATGTGTTAATGCTAAAATGACAATATAGCGTATCTCCATGCTGACAAAAGTCGTGTTCAAGAAGACTAAACAGTTATGCTACGCGTTTTGAATATGGAGAAAACTAACATTTGGTCAATGGGGAAGAAAACCCTCTAGATCTGCCCAGATGGCGAAATTCACAAGGCGTGAGGAGTGAAAGGAGGGTACGTCGCCGTCAAAGTTTTGCACGATAGATACCAACGGCACAGACCCATGGTGGTGCGAAGAATATAGACAAATTTTGGAGCAATATGATCTATATAAGGAGAGAATTGTAGTACGTGTGTTGCTTATAAATAAATCATGCTTCCAATCTGCCAACCCATTTTAAACATACCAGTTTATTGTTAAAATCGAGGCTCTGACTTAAGAATGTTTGAACATTGAAAAACAACGTGTAGACGAAAGAAGAGAGTAAGCACTTAAAGAGACACTAAAGGCAAATAATTTGTCAGATAGAAAGCTCAATGTGTGAAAACATTTAAAACAGCATTATCAACAGCAGTGCCCTACTTACCGAGAAATTAAGCTAAGTGTAACATACAATGTGCCCCACGAATGGAATATTTTGGAAATGATCCCGATGACGTGAAAGTGTCAGACTACAATTAATCTCTAATAATCGAACCAGCTGCAATAATAATAGAAGAACCTTCCGTGCATCAAGAGACTTAATAAAATGCTGCTTGTCCATTCCAGCTTGATTGATCAAAAATAGAACGGCCTTGTGTTACTATGGGGAATGACGCAAGTGGTTCCAAAGTTTTGTTTTAGCGGTCCAAGCAAGCAGAAATCCGAGCAATCCGAACAAGCAGACTTAATCCAAGCAAGTAGAAAACTGTTCAATGGCTGTTGTTGCTGCTGTGGCTCCTGCTACTTTCATTTTGCTGCTATTAGTGTCGGCAGCTGCGCAGTAAAGGCGAGCAACATTGGGAATAGCAACAGCGGCGTCAGAAAGATCGCTTTCAGGCAGGTGATTTGAAGTGCGCTATCGCGACGCGGGCCACTAAAACGTAAGCTTGTTTCAAAATGAGCACTCCCCAGGCACAAAATAGTACAACGAGGTTTCGGGACCACTATTTCAACAATGAGCATCAACTTATTATTTGCTTTTAGTGTCTCTTTAAAGCACGTCACAAACCTCTGTAACTCGTCTCGTTCTTGACAGATTCAAATCATTTTTGCAGCAATCGAGTTGTCTGGTATTTAAGTCCACAAGTGAGGCCATTCGATGCTTACTTCAAAAAATGTGCATGACCCTTTAAACATAAAAATATTAGCAACGACACAAGCTTTCTGCTGATATTACATTTTACAATACATTAAGCTGCTCTGTGTCTGCCATTTCTCAAGACATCTGTCCTTCCAGCTGTATTGCCTACATACAGTATTTTCTCTCGTGTAACTCATGCAAAAACAGAAAATTCTGAAATCAGGTCAGGGTGTGGGTTACAGTACTTTATGAAACCTGAGAGAACCGGGAAAATCTGTTTCATTTAACAGGAGTTTTGTTTACTGAGAGGTGACCTGGGGTGCACAATGCAAGAACAAAACTAATCTTGTCAGATGTGCTCGTTCCTTTTAAGCAGATGTTCCATTGATTTTCGTTTTCTGAGAGTACTGTATAAGAGAATTTCGGTGTGCAAGGTGACTTCGCAGTTATGCCAGGAAATTGTTTTCATTGCTACAAGTAGGGGGTTTTATTCCTTTCAAATTTTTCAGCAGGTTGTAGTTTGCGAGTGCAAGTTAAATGCAAGGGAGGAGTTAAAGAGAGAAAATTGGGTAACTGGCAAGAGGATGGACAATGCAAAAGACTCACAATCAAATCCTGTGCCTGGTCTCTGTCTCCGATTGGTCACTGAATTGTGGTACTGGTCCTGACTGAGCATGCTGTGCAGACCAAGAATGGCTGTAACGAAAAAGGGAGGCATAGGAATGGAGAAGAGCGTTATTCCACAAACAACTTCAAAGCTGACAGGGCAGTTCAGGAAGGTATTTCTCTCTCACTAGTAGTAAATTAAAGGGAGGTGCCTGTTGAAAAATGCACGTTTTTTTTTCTCCAAAAATATATATTTTTCATTTTTATTTGCTTTTACAAGTTTAATTTCTCTATTTTCACAACAAAATAACTGAGGAATTTTATTTAAACTTAGAGTAGGTTAATCGCTCTTAAAGAGCACAAGGTGGCTACCAAAAACTAAAATAGTTCATTGTCTACAGTCCTACAGTAACCTAGGTGCTTGCCATTGCATTTTGCATGAAGAGTTCCCTAAAGCCACATGCTCAAAATATAAAAATGATTGCCAAGCTCTCACTGATGGAAGAAATAACTTCAAAAAAACATTTTTGCCCATAGACGAGCTTTTGACTTATACTTTAAAATGCATTTTTCTCAAGATACAACTTTGTACGACTTCTTGAGATTAGACATCATGTTTTTGGTACTTCTGATAGCCAGATCAGGATGAAATTCAGCCCTGATATTCCTTAACATGTGAAGGGTGCAAGTATCTCCTTTGCATTCTACAATGAATTGGGAGCAATATGAGCCATTGACAGAACCAAAAATTTCATTAGGTGTTTGTCCAAAATGATCTGTATTTTACACATTGTCATGACACAAAACAAGAACTGTGCTACTTCCCACAAAACTACTTACATACTTGAAATCAGCATAAAAGCCTATACTATATACTGTTGAGACAGAGAAGAAATTGAAACTCGTGTTACCCTGGGTAAACACTTCGTTTTTTTCTTATTGCTTATTCACACGCAGCCCCGCCCTGCGCTCACTTTTTTTAGTCTTTTGCACTGCATGATATTTTGTGCAAGCTTTCCCGCAGTAGATTCAACATCCTCACGGGGCCATGACGTGGTTGCTTGCCTCTAGTAAATACAGCTCATGCAGATTTGCTATGTGCCGGACTTCATGGCCGTCGGGGTAGGGAGTTCTAAATGTGTGTCGATGTCGTCCCTGCCTACAAAAGCGCTGACCACACTGCCGAGCTTTGCTTGTAGCCCTGGCACATTGCCGTTCTTGTCCCCAAAGCGCAGGTGAGACTAAGACGATGCCTGGCAGTGATGAGCGGAACCCAGGCAAAGCAAATATTCCTTCTTTCGTTTCCACAGTCAGATAAGCTCTTTGTTCCATCTGACACTCTTTCGCAGTTCATGCGCGGCAGCAAGACATCCGGTAGTCCTTGCTAACAGCCGCATGACTTGCTTGACTGTTACAAGGTGTGATGGTGTCAGCGCCCGAGCATCCTTAGTGTTCTCGCAGAGTTGCTTCAGAGGGAAGTGATGTACTGTCACGGCTCCATGACCTTGTGATGTCTTTGAAAGGCAATGTGGAATGTGCAAGCCAGACTGAGTAAAAAGTTCTGATGCCATTTTCTTCCACAAGTCCTTGGCGTCAAGTGGAAGGGGCTCGTCCCAATATATGTGCTGCCGCTCTAGCTGTCCACACCTTTCCTCCGATGGCGTGGCTCGACAATTACGCGTCACGAGTTTGGAGCTGCAACATAGGGGAGATGCAGTCTCTCCAGGCATGGCATTTCACGTCAACGTTTTCCCGCGGTACAATCAACATATACAGCAAAAAATTTCACTGCCCTGGCCTACAGACTCACGAAACTTCTTTTTTGCATCGTATCATCCCTAAATGTTGCATAATATCAAAAGCCTGACTCCTGACACGAGGAGATGCTACTCTGTAAACCAAAGGCAAAATGCAAATAGAAAATACAGGTCGTAATGCTGCCTCAAGGCTCCTCCACAAACTCACTGTGATGCAGATTCTGATGATATCTGGAAAGGCCTATGGTAATTCGTAATCACTGAAATTAGACTACACTGCACCATACAGCAAAAGCCAACAGCAGGAATTTCTACCGAGCCAATGTAGCTAAAACGCAACACGATTTTAATATCCCTGATATCGCACTCGCACACAAGTTCCAATGTTTAAGTGTGAAATCTGCATACTAAAATTTGACTTCCATTCGATGTTCTACATAGTAATCAATTTATGATGGCAAAATTAATCATGTCAGAGTTCTCAAAGAAGATATCAGTCTTGTCATTTTCTCTAGTAATAGTGAACCTACGATGGTGAAATTTGGGACACGGGAAGTCTCAAAGAATACTAGATCAGTTTGAACAGACTTACTGCTCCACCTGAGTGTCCCTTTTAACCCTTTGAGGGTCAATGACGTACACTCAAACCTCACCATAACAAAGTCACACTTGCCACAAAAATACTTCGTTGTATCCGAAAATTTGTAATACACATACATTAGTTGCACTGTACTTACGATTCGAGCCATTGTTCACTCACTTCGTTTCAACTGATAATTAATTATATCTGCAATTGTTACATCAACGTCCGAGTGTGAATACATGGCACCGCAAAGAAGTTCCAAAAAAACAAAGGTCAAGGAGTAGTCTGGTATAAGGTAACAGAGATGCAGTTCACTGTATTGTGCCTTCGTGGCATGAACAGCCATGAACTGACCTGCCAGGTCCACCAGCTCCGACTCATTTGCCGTGTTGAGCGCCTTCTCGTAGTCTTCGCCAATATCCAGCTCAACTTCCACATCGTCATCTTGATTGGGCTTTGGCTGGACACGAGGAACAAAAACTTTGCCTGCAAAAACGGGCAGAAAAAGAAGCAGAGAAGAGCAACTTTGACACTCGACATCATAAGCCACAAATAATGTTCATAATACTAATAATAATAATAAAAAATGATTACTATTTTTTTCCTTTGAGCCTCCTGTTCACTTTCAGAGCGATCTAGGGCATGCTGGTGCGATTCCAGCCTAACAGAGTACGGCACAGATACGTGGTGGCATCTGCGCAGCCGCTGTAGTAACTACCGTATGCACTTTTGTAATGGCCAAAATGTTTTCCAGAGATCTTGATGAGGTGCGGCTCTTTTACCAAAGTATGATATATTTGTTTGATTTTCGATTCACGTATGAAAAAAAACCTCTTTTATCGTGCCACATGTACCTAAAGATGGGTTACCTGGTGCCTAGCTGTGGACATTCTCGCTATTGCTAGATGTCTTCATCGGTATCGCTACTCGGGTCATTCGCACGTTCATGTATCCAATTGTCATCAGTGTCGTTCATGACATTGGAAATCCCGGTGACCTTCTTTTAAAACTTTTTACAATATGTGCGTGGATCTTGCGAAATGCACCCTATGCGAAACACGACAACACTGCTGTTTGCTAGGATATTTTTTTTTTTTTCAACATTTGGACTGCCAAGTTGGTTGAGCAGCCCATAGCCTAGTGTAAAATTAATGCGGCCACCCTTTGTCGAGTAATTAATAATACCGCAGCAGTGACTACATGGTTAGAGCATCCACTTCCAATGTGGGAGGCACCAGGTTCGATTCTCGGTGCCAACAGGAATCCCAGTGGTTTTTTCCGATGGGTAGAGGAGTTCATCGACATGACACTCGGTTGCTTCTGGTATTTATCTCGAAAGGCAGCCCCATATAGTTATGCAAAGGCCCTTGGGTGTACCTTAATCCACCACCGCCTTGATGAAATAGTTGAGCATCCGCCGCTGCTGTGGGAAGCAGAGAATTGCTGCTACCAGGCACCTAACGGAAAAATAGGTACAAGCACACTTCTGGCCTGGTGCTTGGCAGAACGAAGTTCATAATTTCTTGGGAGGGCACCCACCCTGTGGGAAATTGGTGGCATGGGACTGCCAGACCTGATATTGAGGTCATCCTCTTTTTTTTTTTGCATGCCATTGTTTTTTTTGTATGTATATAGTATGCAACTCCCTACACTGAAATCAGCCAGTGGGTGTGTCCCCAAGCTTATGATACAACCAGGCCGTGGTCTATGGCATCATTCACAGTGCGATGAGCGAAAGGGTTTCTAGCAGAGTTGGAATCTTGATTGTGAATTCCCTGTTCTATGGTGCACTGTACTGTTTGGCTCACATGTTCACAGGAGCCGTAACTACAGATCGGCAGCATTTCCTTACTGTGTCCGAAAAGTCTTGCAAGGCCCTTTTTAGCAACTCCAACAAGACAAATTACCGGAGCCGGTAACAAGCTATCACTGTAAAGCGTACCTTCCCTGCTACACCGCAAGAGTGGTTTTCCAGGCACACAAATTTTCTCAGTTACTATATGTTTTGAGTAAAACCACACCTTAAACTTGAGTTGATCGTATTAAACTTTTCTACATGTTGTGCCTTCCATATGCCAATTCAAAGCTTGAGCTGGTGATCCGGTGTTTGTCAAGTGTTGATGCGGTGTTGTTACTTAGTATCCTCATTTCAAAAACATTGCCCGATGGGACAGCGAGGTCTCCAGCCAACAGCTGCCTCAATGCCTTCCCCACTTCCTCGACAATGGGACAATCCAGGAGTTCACACAGGATGAGACTATTGAGATTGTTGCTGTCTTTTTTTTCCGGCATAAAGAACAGCGAAGCGAGTGGCCCACCTCTCTTTTGTCCCGCCTGGAATGGCTTAGCTTCGGGCCAGTCTTCCTGCTCCCGGGCAAACTTTTCGAGGAACTGCAGCAGGTGGCGCCGGTTCAGGGGACCCGTCGGCTTCTTCTTGGTTTGCGTCCGACATCGTTCCGATGGAGGTATTAGCGAATCCTGCAGAAGAAACAAATCAACGGGTGCATGCAAGAGTCATAAAAGGCATTGAAAAGTGCTGAGCGAGGACAAAAAAATCGTCCACCTCAATTTAAAAAAAAATCGACCTCAAGTTTTTGGCTCACAGACACACCTTTCTACGAAATGAACTTTTCAATTACATACTATTAAAACAACACACGAAGTCTGTAAACACACTGTTCCGTTCATTGTAAAGGAAAGTCAGGATGCCTTTGAGCCTCCACCAATATAATATTCAATAAATACACTCCTAAAATAAGATTTCGAAGTTTTACATTTTCTGTTTTAGAAGATGCCTGTGAGAATACCTTGCTTTTTAAGCAATACGACGCTTTGGTGGTGAAAGCACAGTTCTCTTCATCAATGACCCTAGCATCTTTTACAAAGCCAAAAACTGTCGTTGTAAAATCTGTGTTTTAAAAGGATACTGCAGAAACAATGCCACAGAAAATAAGGCTTTTTACTACTCGTCCTAGTGACAAACAGTTTTTCTACTGAGACAACACACAGAGTTTCCTAAAGGTGCCGAATTCACAATCTCAACTAATAATAAGCTGGCTGTATAGACAAACAAACCAATATGTTCCTTGCACTGCTTCATACACCACACCACAGAGCACACTACTTCCTTACGTCGGCAGAGGTATTCTTCATACCCCGTTCAGAAATGTGCAAATGACGACGATGGCTTGCAAGTAATTAATCTGGGAAACAATGGTCTCATTTTATTGGCTCATTGCGGAAAAACAAGGAATAACGAAAGCTGCTGCGCTCACCTAGAATGCACAACACGGCCTAGTATACAATATTCAACTAAAGTAACAGTGCATATCTGTTTAGGTGGCTAAAGCACAACAGTCATAGAAAAAAAAAAAAAAAACCCGAATAATCCTGCAGCCTGGCTATGCAAACAAAAATGTAGATTTGGAGCTTGCTAACGTAAGTGACAAGTAATGACTGCCAATACGGGCGCCTTTCAGACATAATGCACAAACGTGCACCACTGATTTTGTTTTGCATTGATAGACGCAAAGTAACAATGCTGCTCTATATATTTTTGTTAGCACCCTTGGTGAGTGGTGCCCCGAGTGGCATACGACTCACAGTATTGGCATTGCAGCTGTGAGTGATGAATGACAAAACAAAAAAGAACAGAGAAAGCAAGGTGCTTGTGCTATTACAGGCGTCTGCTGTGCTTAATTCACTTATATTTCACACTTATAGCTTAAAGCACTACTATCTCGTAAACAATGCTTGTATCATACATTCCAAACTCCCCCACGCCGATAATTTTTTCTCCTTCTCTGCATGTGAATGGTACCATGATAGCTAAATGGGTGTGTGTGTGCGTGCATGCTAAAATTTGATACGTGTATAATCCCACATCATTGCTACACTAGACCCTCCAGCTGCTGCTGAGTGGCAAAACATTAACCTTCTATCAGGAATGACGTCAACAAAGAGCTGCGTTTTAGCCCGGTATCGCTCTACTATCTCCATTATCAGCTAGTGCCCACTTCAACAGGAAAGCCCACTTTACCTTTGCCACGGGTCCTGACAGCGCTACACTAGCTTTGGTACGAGACCAGCCGTGTTTGGTCGCAGGCAAACAGAGGAATTAAATGTACATAGCGGCTGACCAAACATTAAAAGGAGGACTGCTGAACCGGCAGTAGAATGTAACCACACATAAGTTTGTGTCTAAATTGCCTCCTAAAAGCTGTCTGCAGCTCCTATGCTGAGGTTAGGCCAGTAAAAAATTATGAAGAGGCCTATGGTTACTGCTCACAGTCACTCCCACTGACGTAACTACAAGTTCTAATGCACTTGAGAGTGTTGCTTTATCAGCCAACTTCAGTTCCATAGTTGGAAAAGGCACTCACGTCAGGATCGACCATGTTGCCAAGTTGCTCCAACTCTTCCGGAGACAGCTTAGACAGAAGTTCATCAATGTCCATGTCGGCATACTTCTTCACGTCCTTCATGATGTTCTCAGCCATGTGGAGCCTAGGAAATTAACATGGATAGAAAATTGCTTTAGAAACCCCCATTGCTGGACTTCCAGAAAAAAATGCCAGTGTTTTAACTAATTTACAATGTCAGCCTTACAATTAGACTACTTCGAACAATGCATGGATTAGCATGTTGTATTGATTTAAGACTGAAATCTCAAATTAATGCAGACAATGTAGGACTTGCACAGTGGTAAACAGGAAATTGACATTCAAAACTCATGGAGCTAGTAACTTAAATGCTTATATATGTGAATTAAAGTGACAAATTGCTCTATTGTTAGCTGAAGCAACTCTCTAGACACAGTCAAAATGTTATGTTAGCAACTGAGCACCATTAAACTGTGATTTCTTACATAGGTACCCACCATGAAAAGGAAAGCAGAGTATTCTGTAAACTATATAAACTACAAGATAAGCACTGAACCCTAAATGCAACATAAAAAAAAAAAAACTTAACACCTTCTATACCTATGTCACATTCATTGATTCATACTTACAAGCTGCAGAAAAATAAACACCAACTTCACAGCTTACACATATTAGCTGTTAAAGCTACAACATTCAAATGCTTTCACTGGTGTAGAAAAATCAGTAAAAATCAGGAAACTCCATGCAGCACACAGTTAGTCAAAGTCACTCAAGATGCAGTATTATTAGTAAGTCATGATTTTACATTACTGAAACACAAACACGAACAGGTTAGTATATTGTCAAAGCTCGCTTTTGTGAACACCTGGGGGATGCAATCCGTTCGATACTGATGGTGTAACCTCTGGGTAAGAAACTTGGCAACAGTCAGGAAAACGATGTCTACTACAAGAAGTGCTACACCCTTTGAGGTATCTTTCATAGAAAGTGACACGTGGTCGCATAAGTATACACAAAGAGTGAGAGACTACAATGATATTATTATAACAACACTGTATCAGAAGATTTAGAGACGTAGAGATAGCATAGAGAAAATCATGCTATCTGCATCACCAATTTTGCTGTTCCGGACACACTACAGTCCCCACCCTTCTCCCCACCATGGAGAAACTTCAAAATTTGTGTCAAATTAGCTGTCTTTTAACATACAAGGCTGAAGCGTGCCCAACTATATCAGCACGTTCAAAGGGCCCTAAGAATGTCAATGGGCCTGCACAAGTGCCGATTTCCTGAAATCAGGGCCAGCCATGATGAAATAACCTACTTGAACCGAGACGCTAATTGTAGCGTACATTAATAAAAAAGATTTGTAATTATATCCTGTTGATTCACATGCCAAATATGAAATGATGATCAAGCCCTCTGTAGTGACTGACTCTAGAGTACGTTTGATCCTGGGATTGTTTAACATGCACCAATAACGTAACTATTAAAACTTTAACATAACTAGTAATCTTTTCTTTATAATTACTAATTCACCTGGGTTTCAGAACATTTATGCAAAATACGGCCACCATGGCTGGGATTTCAACTCGCACCCTTGAGCTTCGGAATGCAGCACTTCAGCTGCTAAGATGCCACGGGGGTCGCATTAAGCAGAATAACTGATAATAGGTAATGCTGATCTGTTCCGCCAGCATTAACTCGTCACAACTGTCAAAGTAATGACTAGATTTTATCGTGACTGCAGTTTCATTGTGCTATAATGCAACTCGACAAATGACCAACACACAGCACAGCACTACCTTAGCATGTGGATATTGCCACTTCGATCACATCTTTCCATGCAACACAATCGATGCAGATTCCAGGCACGTTACGCTCGAGCAAGGTCCAAGCACAATTGGAAAACACTAGCTCAAGGACGATCACTGCATTTCCATGCGACCAAGCCGAGGCTTGGCACTCACGCCGGCTTGTCATCGAGGCTTGTGGTGGACACGCGATGGTGTGTCTTGACTCGCGTTGTGACCCTGTGGGTCGTCGTCTTGACACTGATGATACTCATGACTGCCCGTTTTCTGCCTTCTCGCTGTTGCCGCCACGGACCGTCAAAGGACACAGTGCACACAAACTTTGAAAACGAATGATACTGCCTCTCTGAACACAGGCAGTGTAACCACGCACATTACCAGCGACGAAACCTTTAAAACGGCAGCAGTATACAAGGTAAAGGACACATAGTTTCACAATTCAACATAACATGCCACATACTGATCGCAGCTAAATATTGCAAACTTTAGCTTAATGCTGTGAACAGAATAATGTGGTGTATTTTCTACATATAAAAGCACAAATTCAGCATTTCTGAAGGCTGATAATCATTTTCACAGCTGATTCAAGAACTGCACTCTCATCAGAATCATAAATCGACAAGGAAGAGTTCATTGCGTGCATAACAGATCTGCTGTTAATTTTTGTATGCTAATAAATGATGAACGCTACAATACACTACTAGCGCTTAACAAGTTTGGCACAAATCATGGAAGAGCAAAAATAAATAAAAAACATTTCGGCATACTTTCACGGTTTACAACTATAAATGCCAGAGCTTCGTGTATGACGCATCGAAGTCTGAATAGCTAGCATGTATGACCATAAATGCTACGGTTCCGTCTATCAAGTATCAAGACCAGCTGTACCGTCTAGCACTCGCGAAAACCAACTGGCTAAAGAACATCACTATCGGGAATTTCCGCAAGTGTTTGGCCTAAACAGTGACACAGCCGATTTTGGGTGATCCGCAAGGCAGACGCCAATAATTTTGAATCTCATCCAGGTAACCCGACAAATGATTCACGTTTATATTTCAAGCAGCTACAAAGTAGGGATTCCTAGTCAAGGTCGCGGTAGGTGCAATGTCTCATGAATACGATAACGTTTCCCAGGGACCTCGTATACTGAATCATTTCTGCAGGCTGTACGGAAAACAAACGCACCTGTAATCATACGAGAGCAGCGCCTAGCGCTACGATCACTAATCGCCCCGCAGATCGAGTATGCTAATGCTCAACTGGCTGGTTCGCTGTACTATTAAATTGAAAGCAATCAGGCACCGTCACGGATTGACCGATCTTTATAACCAATGACTCGAGAAAAGGCGGATCCAGCGGCAGCCGAAACATCGGCCCGCCTTGCTTCCGTATCCGACCACGCCTTACGACGGTGTTCCGCTATCAGCTCTGCGGCACGAAAAAGTCGGTCACCGCGAACTCGCTACCATCCTGCTCTTTTTCTTTCTGGTGGCGCTAGTTTCCCTGCGCAAAGCGATCTTCTGTGCAGTCCCTCAAACACTAAGCTACCTAACTTCACTCATTAAATCGGCCCTGCTTCGCGAAAGTATTTATTTTCAAGATAGGAGGAACGGCGGAGCTCGTAGGGCGCGTGGCGCCCGCACGCTCGTATCTCGTACGGTTTTGACGTAACGAATACACGCTCCGTGCAATCGTAACCGCGCTTAGGGACATAGCATGTAGATGTTAAGAAGCACAGTCTACAAACAACGTTGGACCGAGGATAAATATAGCCGAGGAAGAGACGGGCGCTCCCTTGCTCTCGCCGCATGCCGCGCCGCATCATCCTAAAAGGAGACCCTCAAAATGCGCTCTCCACTCGAAGTATTAGTGGCGTCAAAAGTGCGACAAACCCGGGCTTCTCGGAAGACGGCCCCGAAAAAAAAAAATGAAAGAAACGCGTAGACAACGTGACAACTACTGCGGGCCGTCGGCAATGTAGTCGCTGTCTCGGACGTTGGGGACGAATGTCGACAGCCCACCCGTACACCGTTACACTCGGCCCCTATCAAGCCTTCCGTACCACTCGATGGGACGAAAGCGAAAAAATTGATTAGCACTGTAACAGCTACAAGAGATGACAATACCGGTGAGGCCCGATTTTCTCGATTTCGCAGCGAGCAACTCCGACGGTCCCCTTGACGTAGGATGGGATCTTCAACTCACGAAATCTCCCACACAGAAATAGAAACCTGGGCGCCGTCGTCCAAACGCTGCACTTCTCGGACTAAAATAAACCGTTCGAAATTGACGGCTGCGGCACGCGAAGCTGTCTCCGGCTATCACGGACGGAAACCTCGGGCCGCGTACCGTAATATTCGAAAAGCGGGCAAGCCTTCCGTACGCACCTGTGTTCGAAGAAATCGCTCGTCGTCGTGAAGTTACACAGGCACGCGTAGATTTTCTCGCACTCGACAGCCGCCACCCTGCTGGCTGGCCTCTCTCGCTCGTCTCGCGGTGGCCTCGTTTGTTCTCGTTGGCTGCGAGAGCCGACAGACGCGTCGCCACGGCAACGGTCCTGTTGTTTACAAATGGCGTCGTACGTCGGAAGCGCACGGAAGAGGAGGACTGGCGCTCGACGAGCGACTCGCGCGGTCTTCCAACTGCGCAGTTTTGCGCCAGGCCGTACATGTGAGCATGCTTGGCTTCCGAGATGCGCAGTTTTCAGCGACACTGAGTGGTGTAGACATCGTAACGAACGCGCCAAGCACGCCAAGCATCTCCGAGACTTGGCATCGACCGTGCGAAGCGTCGTCGTGGGGTACGGAAAATGCCAGTCACTCACCGCTGCTGTAAATGATCGGGAATGAACAGAAGCCGATGGACTGACTACTTAAGATAATTAACAGACGTGATGGAGAAACAATGGTGCTTCCAAACTTTCGATAGCCCTCCGTCACCTGGCTGTCCAATTGCTCAGATGGGCTGCGACTTCCCTACCTTCACTATCATTAGAGTCGCTCCAACTGTACAATTGTCAGGAACGTTGTATGAGTGATTGCCTCATAACGTATATAATTGCGCGAGTGATCTTGCGCAACGACGCAGGTTAGCGGCTTCTAGCAGGGGCTTTTATTTCGACTATCAGATTGCCAAGGCTCTCTTCTATGAAATAAAAGAAAATAATAATTTATCGTAGACTGGTTACTTGTATAGAGAAAGAAGAGAGGAAGGGAAGCCCATCCATTAACCTTACTGCCTATTCCACGTAATAGTTAGAAAGTATTACCACGCACAATAACCAGTCTTGAATTCACATTATTTAGTAGCA